TACGGGGGTACAGTCCTATGGGGGTACAGTCCTACAGGGCTACAGTTCTATTGGAGTACAGTCCTACAGGGCTACAGTCCTACTGGGGTACAGTCCTACGGGGGTACAGTCCTATGGGGGTACAGTCCTACAGGGCTACAGTTCTATTGGAGTACAGTCCTACAGGGCTACAGTCCTACTGGGGTACAGTCCTACGGGGGTACAGTCCTATGGGGGTACAGTCCTACAGGGCTACAGTTCTATTGGAGTACAGTCCTACAGGGCTACAGTCCTATGGGGGTACAGTCCTACTGGGGTACAGTCCTACGGGGGTACAGTCCTATGGGGTTACAGTCCTACAGGGCTACAGTTCTATTGGAGTACAGTCCTACAGGGCTACAGTCCTATGGGGGTACAGTCCTATAGGGGAGTCCCCCACCCTGGAGGCTTTTCTTGTTTCTAACTGAAAGCATAGGACTCTTAGATTTATTACAGTATCCCGCTGTTTTTATTCCCATTTCTGCAGTCTTGTTACTGCATTCATATCTATACAATGTGTTCCAATAAACCCACCACTTTATTCCTTGGGATTTGCCGTAATGAAACCCTTTAATTTAGTCTCCATCACCGGATGGAGTATAAGGCTCTCTGCAGACGTGACTTGTTTTCTCTTGTCAATTGTGTGTCAGTTACTATTATTCTTGCCTTTTTTATAATTATGCTCCAGTGGAATGCCCAGACTTCTTATAAGTGACAGTTACCCAGTGGCTTTTTTCTATAATTGTTACTCAGGTAATGAGGGAACAGAAGTCAACTGTCTTTTTCTGTGAAAATTCTCCAGAGAATGAGTGTGGATGTTCATTGTGTCCCCCCCCCTCCCCCCCGCAGGCATCATCCATCAGATGAAGGGGGATTACGAGACTGCACTGAAACTTCACAAGACCCATCTCTCTATTGCCCAGGAGCTGAGTGACTATGCTGCCCAGGGTCGCGCCTATGGAAACATGGGCAATGCCTACAACGCACTGGGCATTTTCGACCAGGCCGTGCGCTACCATCGGCAGGAGCTGCAGATCTCCATGGAGGTCAACGACCGCGCCTCGCAGGCCTCCACCCACGGGAACCTGGCTGTGGCCTACCAGGCCCTGGGCGCCCATGACCGTGCCCTGCAGCACTACCAGAACCACCTGAACATCGCCCGTGAGCTGCGGGATGTTCAGAGTGAAGCCCGGGCCCTGAGCAACCTGGGGAACTTCCACTGCTCCCGTGGTGAATTCCCCCAGGCTGTGCCCTACTATGAGCAGTACCTGCGGCTCTCCCCAGACCTCCAGGACATGGAGAATGAGGGCAAGGTGTGCCACAACCTGGGCTATGCCCACTACTGCCTGGGCAACTTCCAGGAGGCTGTGAAGTATTACGAGCAAGACTTAGCTTTGGCTAAGGACCTGCATGACAAGCTGAGTCAGGCCAAGGCCTACTGCAATCTGGGGCTGGCCTTCAAGGCACTAGGTGACTTCAGCAAGGCAGAGGAGTGTCAGAAATACTTGCTGTCGCTGGCCCAGTCCCTCAACAACTTGCAGGCGCGTTTCCGGGCACTGGGCAACCTTGGGGACATCTTTGTGTGCAGGAAGGACCTGGTTGGTGCCGTGCCATTTTATGAGCAGCAGCTAACCCTGGCCCACCAGGCTGGCGAGCGGAAGATGGAGGCAGCCGCCTACGCAGCCCTGGGTGCCGCATACCGCATGATGCAGAAGTACGACAAGGCCCTGGGCTACCACACCCAGGAGTTGGAGGTATACCAGGAGCTGGCGGATGCCCTGGGCGAGTGCAAGGCCCATGGGCACCTGGCGGCTGTCTATATGGCCCTGGGCAAGTATACCATGGCCTTCAAGTGCTATGAGGAGCAGCTGGAGTTGGCCCAGAAGCTGAAGGAGCCCAGCACAGAGGCGCAGGTCTACGGCAACATGGGCATCACCAAGATGAACATGAATGTGATGGAAGAGGCCATTGGCTACTTCGAGCAGCAACTGGCTGTGTTACAACAGCTCAGCGGCAATGAGGCCCTGCTGGACCGGGGCCGAGCCCACGGCAACCTGGGTGACTGCTACGAGGCGCTGGGTGACTACGAGGAGGCCATCAAGTACTACGACCAGTACCTCTCTGTGGCCCAGAGCCTGAACCGCATGCAGGACCAGGAGAAGGCCTACAGGGGCCTGGGGAACAGCCACAGGTGAGTCCAGAGTGATTGTGAATCTGCATCCTGGGTGATCGATAATCTGTGGGGGTTCGGACTCAGACCTCCACCCTGAGCCACCATGCTGCCCCTAAACCAAAACAAAACCCACAACATCTAATCAAAACCACGTTTGCTGAAAATGTGATGCTCAGCTGCTAGTCGGCTGAGCGTGCGGTCATGAGCTGGCTGCTGGGATTTATCTTACAGTCTAACCCCCCCCCAACGTGTGCGAGCCGCTAATGTCATTAAGAGAGTGATGGCAGAGGTGCGCACAGCGGCGGGGGGTGGGGGGCAGTGTGTAAGGACACTCTAAATAATCCAGTGGTTGCATTTCGCACGTCCAGGTCTGTGTGCATTAACAGGCTTAATTAGCCCTTGTGTTGAACCCCTGACTATCAGTCCCCCCCCCACCCCGCAAGCCTAGGGATGGCGAACGGGGCTGAACTGTCAGCCTAGGAGGAGGGGGTTCTTCCAAGTGCCATCCGTCAAGGTGAACCCCCCGCCCCGTCCTGCCAGCACACAGCAGGATACTAAATTACTCTAGTCAGCTGCTTGCCCCCCCTGTAAGAGTCAGCGCTGCCAAAGAAGAAAAATAAACATTGCAGATACTTAAAGTGGTAAGTTAAAATCTATTCATTAATTTGGAACAGAAGGGCATTCACGCCGCCCCCTGCTGGCGGAGCTGCACCTCACAGGCTCCCTCGTGTGCTGAGGTGACACATGGGGTGGCTGCACAAGAGAAGAAACCTCGGCTGTAATGTACCTAAAAAGCACACTGAACGGTGTTGAAAGGTGGTGTGTCGCGTGAGCTGCAGCAGTCTTAGACGGCGTGACTGTGCTGTGTGAATGGCCAGTGCCAGGGCTGCTGTGTATATATACCGTGGTACTGACCGCCCTCCTGTGTACATATACCCTGGTACTGACCCCCCGTTCCGGTGTATATATACCCTGGTACAGACCACCACCCAGTGTATATATTCCCTGGTACTGACCCCCTTCTTGTGTATATACAGTATACCTGGGTACTGACCCCATCCTCTGTGTATATATACCTGGGTACTGACCCCATCCTCTGTGTATATATACACTCTGGTACTCCCCACCCCGTGAATATATACCCTATATTCCCATGTATTTTGTAGATATATGAGTGTCCTGCGAAATGTTGTTATTCATTGTTTTTGTTTGTTGTTACATCCCGTTACAGCCAGGCCGCATTAAACTGGGTTTACTGTCCCACTCAGTCCCACTCAGTCCATCCATTAAAGTGTTTGCCTGGGAAAAAAATATTACCTAGCATTTGCAGGTTTAGATGACTTTTTCATTACAGACTGAGTTTTCTCACGCAGGTTGTATGTTTTTCCTATAAATATGATGAGTATTTGCATCCTGTGAAATACACAACGAAGTAATGATGAAAAGTCATTAAAATCACAAATCCCACTGCCTTTGTAGGGGGCAGTGAAGATGGCTCACAGCTGTCCCCGTATCACCCTCCACAGGGCTATGGGAAACCTGCAGCAGGCGCTGGTGTGCTTCGAGAAGCGCCTGGTGGTGGCCCACGAGCTGGGCGAGTGCGGGGGCAAGGCCCAGGCCTACGGGGAGCTGGGCAGCCTGCACAGCCAGCTGGGCAACTATGAGCAGGCGCTGTCCTGCCTGGAGCGGCAGCTGGGTATCGCACGTGACACGGGGGACCGCGTGCTGGAGGGCGAGGCCAGCAGCGGCCTGGGAGCCGTGCATCAGTTAATGGGCGAGCACGAGGCCGCCCTGCGCTGCCACCAGCACCACCTGGAGATCGCCGAGGAGACTGGCAGCGCCAGCGGCCAGGGCCGTGCCTACGGCAACCTGGGCCTCACCTACGAGTCGCTGGGCAACTACGAGCGTGCCGTGGTCTTCCAGGAGCAACACCTGAGCATCGCCGCGCAGACCAACGACCTGGCGGCCAAGACGGTGGCCTACAGCAGCCTGGGCCGCACCCACCACGCCCTGCAGAACTACTCGCAGGCTGTCATGTACCTGCAGGAGGGTGAGTGCATGCTAGCTTCCTGTTAGCGCTTAACCCGGTCCGGACCAGTCCTGTGTCACTAGTCATGATGTTCCACTAGCAGCAGTGAGTCACAAGCGCACTGTTCTCCGCTTTGTTCTGTCTCTCCTTGCACTTGGCCTTGGAATCGACCAAAGCAGGAGCCCTAAATAATCCCTCCTTAAGCCCTCAGCCAGAATGATCCACACAGGTTAAAAAAAAAAACACTCTGTTATGGTGAATATCTGGGATTGTTTTAAAAGGATTAATTTGTTCCTGGTTCCATCTGGCACAAACTTGAGTCATGATTATTAATGTCGTCATTTTGTATGTGTTTACCAGATGCCCAACTGGGCCAACACTAGCATTCCTGTATCTCCCAAATATAGCACAGGGAGGAGTGTCATATGGTACAAGCACGTCTCATTCCGGGGACGAGAGTCTGTGGCTTTGTGACGACAAGTGGCTATCTCCAGGTCACCGGTCTCTGATGTCACGACGGGTGACGCCGGTTGTCCAGATGATGGGGTGTGGCCATAAACTGATGATAGACGGCAAAGCCCCGCCCCCTGTCACCAGCTGACCCAATCAGAGCCGTGACCTTATGTTTTCCCATCTTCTAATGCGTGCTGGATGCTGAGGCTGCTAGATAAAGGCCACCCCCAGCACTCCCCCCCGCTTCCTGACAGCCAATTAATTCTTTCTGACTGACCTAAATGTAGAAACATGTGAAGTGCGCCTCCCCCCCACTTCACTCTGTGTCCTCGTCTCCCTCCCTCTCTGAGCCGCCTCTGAGTTTAATTGGGACGTGGTTAATTGGTAAAGTTGCCGTGTCTGTCAGGGGTCTCTGGTTGCTTCCTTTGCATGTGTCACGCTGTCTTTCATTCCCTTTTCTTCCCGGTCGCTCGCTTCCATGGGTCCCATAATTAGATGTCGTTCCGATTGGCCCAGGGAACCATGGTGAACCTCTTATTTCTGTGTGTGTGTGTGTGTGTGTGTGTGGGTTTGCATAGATCACATTTGGGGACCAAAATGTCCCCAAAGTGTGGTAAAACTTGAAACTTTTGGGGACATTTTTTCAGCTCCCCATTTGGATAACCTCAATTTTACAAAAATGTGCAAATCCAATCAAAAAAGTACAAATGCCAAATCTTATATTTTGTTTGATTACTTTTGGTTAGGGTTAGGGCTGGATAGGGGTTAAGGGTGTTGTGATTGTGATTAGCATTTTTCCATAGAAATGCATGGAAGGTCCCCATTTAGATAGATATGCCTACATGTGTGAGTGTCTGTGTGTGTGTTTCTATATGTATGTGTGCGTATCGAACAGGAGCAGGAGGAGAGCGGAATTGAATGAAGGATCATTTGCGAATTTTCTCAGGGCCTGTGTCTAATGAGTCCTGAGTGGCGCTGTGACCCAGCAGAGCCTCCCATCCAGCCCAGATGAAGAAGGCAGAAGGGGGGCAGCGGAGGGGACCAGGCAAGGGAGAGAGAGAGCGAGGGAGTGAGTGAGGCAGACAGTGTGGCAGGCTTCAAAGCTGCTGGGCCGGCAGACTCCCGGGGGCGTGGGAATGCAGGGAAGATGCGGGAGGAAACCGAAGAGCATTAGGAGCTTTGAAGAGTCTCCACTCCGCCTCATGGGATGCTTGGGGAGGGGGGGGGGCTCGTTTTCTGTAAGGACGCGGAAAGGAGTGTGCGAGAAAAAAAGGTGAAGGAACACTCCCTCCCTGGGGTCCGTGCTGAGGCAGGACGCCCCAATTACACCTCTGCTCTTCCCAGGTGACTTTGTAGGACAGGCGTGCGATTGGCCAGTCCCTGCCTGCGGAGACAGCCACGCAGGTCGTCTGGACCCCATTTCCTCATGGCGTGTGCTTCAGATTCAATCAAATAGTGCCTGGCTTGATTTATAAGTAACTCTAAGGAAGGTAATAAATGTATGCAGTGTGGTCAATAAGTATGTCATATCGTGTAGGAAAATCAGTCTCTATTGGTACTGTTTCTATACTTGTATCTGTAATGTGTTCATTCATGTTTGCTTCTGTATATTTGACTATAAGTTGCTTATTCTGGAATCCTTTGACAGTTCCGTATTGCATCATGGGATGTACATGGACTGCTACCTGTGTGGGATAATGTTGCCACGGGTGATTCCTGGACAGGTGCATGTGCTTCATCACTATTGCTCATCCCCAGGTCTGCGCTTGGCAGAGCAGCTGGGGAGGCGGGAGGACGAGGCCAAGATCCGGCACCGTTTGGGACTTTCCCTGTGGGCCAGCAACAACCTGGAGGAGGCCCAGCACCAGGTATGTGATTGGCTGCTGGAAAACAAGGCCTGTGTCTGCTGTCGGTGCCCATTGGCGCCCTCCAGTGTCCACAGTACCCTCTAACATCCTCATGGCTTCATCCGGGCTGTGATTGATACAACTTCCTCTGCATGTTAGCATGGCAAGAGAGGGAGGGGGACATGCAGTAAGAGGGTAACAGTGTAAATAATGAAAGGGGAGTTTGGGGGGGGGGGGTGCAGACGGCAGAGGGTGTGTCTTCTGGACCCCACTGTGCTGCAACTGTGAGTTTTGGTTCCAGGCTTGGCAGGGCCCTCCTCCATCTGTATCAGGCTACGCCACTGTGTAATTATGAGGAGGAGGAGCATAAATAGTATTACTGCTAATGTCTTACACATGGAATTATGTTGTCCTGCCTGGGGTTTTGGTTTTAAGCCTGGCATAAAAAAGAACTGGTGATGCTTACATCGGATGTAAATTGTAAGTGTAATTACTTTTCTTACCATGAGTGTGTACCCAGTTTACCATATTATAATTAATAACTATAGTAGAACAAATCATCTGCACTCTTAATAATCCACAGAACTCGCATTCAGTTTGTTTGTTAAATGAACCGTTTACAGTTAATGGTTGCTGCATTGTCAGCATTACAGAAGTATCTAGCAGTCAAAGGAGTGTTATAATCTATCAGTGTTTGCACTGGGAGGGAAGTGCTGTTGAGGGGGTGTTTGGGTTAATTGTTGTGGATTGGCTGTAAGTTGCCTTCTGCTTGATCAGGGGAATGACAGGCCCTGGTCTGTGAGATTCTTGGGGCGGTTTTGATTCTGGTCCTGGGCTTTTCCTGCAATTGCTTTCGTCCCGTATTCCACCCAGGGAGTAACTGAGCCACCAGAGATTCTGGGTGAACTTTCCACTATTCCCCTGCAACATTCTTGGAAGGCTGCTGGCACACTGACCTCATGCCAGTGTCATTGGGCCTGGTGAAAGCATACCTCAGAGGCGTGTGCTCACACTTACATGTGAGCGGCGTGTCTGGGGAGAGGGAGCATGAGTCTAGACAAAATCACGCTAGACACCAGACAGGAATTGACGTGACGAGCTGATATCCAGATTCTGCTTTTCTCAGCCCCTGATTAACTGTTTGAAAGGCCTGCCATTTAGAGACAAAAGGAGCAAAACAACTTCATCTCCCCCTGGTGCTGGGGGGCGGGGGGGCGTGCTTTAGTCTTCTTTCTTCCACTCTGTGAGTGATCACAAAGCATAAGAGATGAAAAAGCTGGATTTCCTCGTCTTCTGCTAATGGTGGCAATTTCCACATCTGCACAAGGCAGGTATTTCCCTGGCTGATCTCCACAGTCTGGGGATCGTTTTGAGCAACAGAACTCACAATCCTCTGTAGTGACAGTGATTCACACTCATCTTTACTGCAGAAATAGCACCCACACTCCCATACAGTAACCGCAATAATACTCACAGTCCTCTAGAGTAACAGCAGCCATACATACAGCCTCCTACAGTGACAATAACAAAACAAACAGTCCGTTATAGTAACAGCAGATATACTCACAGCCCCCCTACACCAACAACAATAGTACTCATAATCCTCTATAGTAACAGCAGTTATACTTACAGTGTCCTACAGTAACAACAACAAAACTCACAGTCCCTTACTATAACAGTAGTGATACTCACTGTCCCCTCACACAGTACGTTTACATGCACAGCTTACTTAAGCTATGGTTATAGCTTGACTACGCCACTTAATCAGACTACTGTCCCAGTATAGATGCACGGGAAGGGAATTGATTTATTAACCGAAGTATGCCTGACTCTGCTAAAATAGGTGGCGATATGGCTCCTTTCAGCTAGTACTGGGCTTTTTCCAGGTGACGTATTATGTCAGACGTTAAAAAATAATTGAATTAATAATAATGGGTGCGTGGACAAATGAAGTGACCTCCCTAGGGCTCATATATTTATTCTGATCCCTCTCCACCCAAAAAACACTGCATTCCAGATGTGTAGTGTTATATTTACCGTTTATTGCTACTCATTTTAGGTGTTGCTTTAGCATCACTTCTTCTGCTACTGCTAGCAGCTAGAAATGTCTCTATATGGTTCCTCTATGTCACCATTAACTGAGCAACTTCGTAAACTTTTGTTTCGTTACTAGTCATAAGAGTTCAATGTATTCAATATCTCACATTAATTATTTTAATTTGTTAGCATCATATCATGTCTACAGGCATGTAATGTCAGCAAAACTCACCATCCCCTGTAATAATATTCACAGTCCCCTACAGTAACAGCATTGATACTCTCAGTCCCCTACAGTAGCAGGAAAGATACTCACAGTCCCCTACAATAATACTTACAGTCCCCTACAGTAACAGCAGTGATACTCACAGTATCGTACAATAATACTCATGCTCCCTCTGAGTAACAGCAGTGATACTCCCCATGCATTAGAGTTTGACAGCAGAAGGCTGACACATTCCAAGCAAAATGATTTGCTGCCTATAAGAGGCCAGGGTCTCATGGTCTCAGGCTACTTACACCATTCTCTCCCCCCCCCATTACCACTCTGGTACCCTTTAATGTCTGTCCTGGTACGGTGGAGATTACAGCCTGGTTGTTTAAATGATGTCAGCATTGGTTCTGTGTTCCAAGTAGTGTTGGTAAGGACAGCTCATCAGCTCATTTATTCCAGAGTCTCCTTCGCTTTGAATTTGCCTTTGTTGTTGTTCGTCCAGCTTACAACTTAGCCCTTAAATCTGAGAACAAAACTCTGGCTAAGCAAAGGTCTTTTCTTACTCACCCAGTTGTATAAGAGCTTTGTCTCTTCTCCCATCCTGGTGCAAAACAGATGAGAGGTGTGACACAGCCAGCAACGTTAAACAGTCAGCAGCGCCTGATTCCTTGCCATGGCGATGAGGGCACCCTACTGTGATGGGACTGCTGCCACCCAGTGGTCAAATATGGACATGACACTTTCCTTCACAGTGGCCATGCAGTGAACTTCCACACTGTGTTATTAGGTTAGGTGTTTGTTGGGCAATAACCATATACAGCTGGCAGATGTTTTTATATATATGAAAAAGGGTATTTTATAGTGACATAGCGTAGAAGAAGGAAACACAGACACATCTTTGAAACACCTGTGTTTTCTAAAACTTGGATGGAGCCCTCTGTGTCTAAGCTTCTCAACCCGCGTGTCTCACGGAGCCTGCGGCCGCCTGCTTATCCTGCTTTCTCTGCTCCTCACAGCTGTACCGGGCGTCAGCGCTTTTCGAGACCATCCGGCACGAGGCCCAGCACAGCACAGACTACAAGTTGTCCCTGTTTGACCTGCAGACCTCATCCTACCAGGCTCTCCAGCGGGTCCTCGTCAGCCTTGGTACGCACCCTGCTCAGCCTGCACATTTATGCCTTTGCAGCTTATTACAGGAAGGATATTAGTGTCAGTAACATCTGGAAAGGGAATTTATGAAAAAAACATAAATATAGGAAACCGGGGAAGATGAAAAAGAAAAAAATGTTTGCGTTTCGTTCAATTTATTTTGAATATGGCGGCAGTGCAGCATGTCACATGACCTTTTTACTATGTCACGGTCCTGATTTCATGTCAGTGTATGGCTGTATCTCCACACAGGCCACCACGACGAGGCCCTAGCGGTGGCGGAGCGCGGTCGAACCCGGGCCTTTGCCGACTTGCTGGTGGAGCGGCAGACGGGGCACCAGGACTCGGACCCATACAGCCCAGTGACAGTGGAGCATGTGCTGGACGCAGTGAGCAGCCAGCGAGCTCTGGTGCTCTACTTCTCCCTGGCCGCCGGATACCTGTACAGCTGGCTGCTGGCTCCAGGGGCAGGTGAGATGCAGGCATGGGGGGCACTGCAGGGAGGGGGACTGGGCAGGTGACAGGCACTGGTGCTGGGAGAGGGTCTGTTCCTCAGGGCTACCAGCTTAAGTTATTAAAGTTAATAATATTTTATATATAATAATAATAATGTTTTTTTCAACATACATGTGGGAAATATGCTTCCACATAATATAATTAATAGTTAAAAATATATTTTTTTAATTCCAGTGCATTTCTTCTACATGATTATTGTTCATTGCCCAATTTTAGCTGTGCTACGGTGGCACGATGCTTAGCACTGTTGCCTCACATCTCTCGGGCCAGGGTTCGAGTCTCTGCCTTGCCTCTATCTGTGTGGAGTTTGCATGTTCTCTCCATGTTCTTGTGAGGTTTCCTTTGGGTTCTGTGCTAACTCTGGGTACAGTAACTCTGCTGAGGTTAGTTGGAGATAGCCACCTGTCCTGGGTCGTTCCCTGCCTTCTGCTGATAGGCTGTGGACCCCCTGTGACCCAGAACAGGAAATGGATGAATTGATAATGGAGCTGCGCTTGATGTGTTTAGTGTTTATTGGGCACTATGCCTGTTGTGAATGATAGGTGACATGGCTGCTTAAACCATGTGTGACTTGTGGTGTTAGTCAGAGTAAATGAACCTCCGGCAGCAACAATACTAGGCTGTGGACCGAAATGATGCAGTAAAATATTCACCTAGCGAACAAAGTTTGCAAAACTTTACAGGCAGCATTTGGTAAAAAAATAAACTGTTATGAAAGTCAGAACTCTTCCTCTTCTGTAAGAAGGTGGCAGCCTTGCTGTCAGTAATTAGCAGTTATGTCCTAAATCCCCAGAAAATACAGCTGCTTCATTCTCTGTTTTTTTCGCACCTGCTTAGCTGCTCTTTCACAGTCAGGAGGTGTTAGGGACCTCAGCTTCTGCGGCGGCTTTCCGTCAGCACTGCAGGATTCACATCCGCTTGGGATGTGAGCGGCTGGCTGGTGTCACCGCAAAGACACACACACACATGCACACAGAGAGAGAGAGGTTTGTAATTATATCTTTGTGAGGACTCTCCATTCATTTCTATGGGGAAAAGTCTAATCCAATGACACCCTTAACCCCTATCCAGCCCATTGTGGTCCCCACAATGTCAGAATAAAAGTTTTTATCACATTGTGGGAACATTTGGCCCCCACAATATAATATATGCATAACCACATGTAGCAGACTAGCACAGAGAGTAGAAAGTCCATTATAGTAAATGACCAGTGGCACCCCCAGCCCATCCACTTGGCCCCAGTAATTATGCAGCGGGTTTAAATATGAAAGGAGAGGGATCGCACACTGTGCTGCTCCAACATGGTTCGGGCTTTAGGTGGAACTTGGAACAGCTTGTTAGAAAAATTGGAAACATGCATCAGGTAGAGCTCCACATCTGTGCAGGGGCATAATCCCCCAAAGCCCGTGTGACCACAGGACATAGGGGATTCATGCACACTGGCACCATCTAGCAGGGTGTGACCTATGAAACAAAGGTGCTGCGTCTGTGATCGGAAGGTCATGGGTTCGAATCCCGGCGTTGGCAGAGTGGGCCCTTACCGCCTGATTGCTCCGGGCCCTGTCTGACTTTGCTTTCTCATTTTCTGTTGCTTTGGATACAAATGTCTGCTAAAAAGGGTAAATGTACAGCTAAACAGTGATTTATCAATTTAAATGTATATAAAACAAATAAGTAAATCTATATCTGTGGAATGTAATCCTTTTTAACCATGTGCATAAGTTATATGATGAGATATGATGATGCTGTAATTGGTTTTTCCGTGGTGGTTTACTGTGGTAATAACAGCCACCATGATTGCACAGCTTGGTGTGCTTGTTCTGAGGAGCCCATTCTCACAAGTGATGCCTAGCCAGACCCTCCTGGGAGATGACCTTCTGATCTACAGCTGCAAAACGGATCGCAAACCCATCCCGATCCCTTCTCCAGGCATCCTCAAATTCCACGAGGTCTACTTGGGCGAGGGAGTGTCCGAGGCCGGCCCAGACCCCCAGGACGGAGGGGGGGGCAGTGGCGTGACCTCGCTGGAGCAGCACATCGCCGGTGTCCGAGAAGCCCTGGGCGTGGACTCCTACTACAGCAGGTAGCGAAACAATCTCTCTGCCCCCACACAGCCCACAGCAGCAGGACACCGGGCCTGGACCTAACCCTCTTTTCTGGGTTGCGTCTATCAGGTTCTCCAAGGGTCCCCAGATCAGAGTCAAGATTAGAGTTGTACCCGATTATGAATATCATTATTGTGACACCATATGGGCTGGGCATTATCCTTGAATCATGATGCTGGCTATGCTGTGATTGGTTAAATCCTGCATAGGGCCAGCAAGCGCAATATACACAAAACAGGAATGCAGCAGGAAAGCCTGGTCGATGGATGTGCTAAACCATCACAGAGGAGCTCCCCATGGATCCCCCCCCCCATGGATTTGTTCACTTTAGGCCGTAGAGGCTGGAATCCTGGATTCGAAGTACAGTTCTCACCTGACACCAAGTTAGCTGTGAAATGCTGAGTCTCCACGAGCTGCTGGGCAGCGACAGTAGACTAAAGTCCATAAAGGAGGACATGCTGTAACGCAATCAGCATCTGACAAATGGCGTCCTATGCTAATGCTGGCACGGGTGGTGCGTTTAAGGGAAGTTGGGGGGAGGGGATGCGTCGGGGGGGGAAAGAGCTGGGAGCTTGTTATTCTGAAATGCTCCATGGTTGAGCGAGCGACCGTAAATGCAAGCATCAAATCCATAACGATCAATCAGACTAGAAAGGTAGAGTGATGGCCAGGACAGGGAATAGAAGGACAGATAGTGAATTTTGCTAAAAGAAGAGAGAGAGGGAGAGAGAGAGAACCTTCAGTGGGATACACAGTATATAACTGTAGATGGGAGGAGAGTTGATTGGTAGAAAGAAAACAGGAAAAATATAAAGTAATGGAACAAAAAGGAAGAATGATGATAAAACTTCACACAGTACAGAAATATTAACACAGAATGTGAGTAGAGTGCTAGTACTATGATGAGAGAAGAGTAGAAGGTATCATACAGGATGTAGTATTATTGGTGGAGTTTCAGTATATTGCAGAGAGTTCGCCAGTAATTATTATTACAGAGACAGAGTAAAGTAAAGGTGAGTAATAGAGAGTATTAAACAGGAAATTGATTAGTAGTAATATTGCACAAAAAGCAATCAGTACTACTGTAGAATGTTTCCATTAGCCACAAACAGCAGCACAGCCAAAAACCTACATAAGCAGACGTACTGTATCATTCACAGAAGCAACGTCACCTAAGAATATCACTGCAGTACTAGAAGTACCGCAGAAATAGTATTAGAGCATTTCACAGGGAGTAAAGCAGGAATAAAGATAATGGGTATTAGTACTGCACAAGTAGACAACAGTAATTAAAGGAAACAGCATAGTGTCGTGTATGACATGCAGCGGAAGGTGCCGGAAGCAGTGGAGCCTGCATACAGGGAGGAGAGGGAACAGTAGAGAGGAAGCCAGCTTTGCGGCTCAGCTTCACACCGCCCCAGGACGGTCTGGTCCCTGTGCCACCTCAGCGCTTAGCCCCACCAAAGTGATAATAAGCAAAGCACGTCCTCACCTGGGGCTGCTGCCATCAGCCAGGCCCTAATTAAAAAGCACCACAAGGCCTAAAACAGGAGTGACACAGAGACCAAGAGGGGGCTTGGTGGGGGGGCAGGTGATGAGATTTTCATTAAATGGCTCACCCTGCACCTCATGGGATGCCAAGCTGTACCTCTCCACATGGCTAGAGGAGCAAGGGGGGGGGGGGTGCATATCCAGTGCAACATTCTGAGAGTCAATCGACACCAAACGATAACGGCTATAAGAGGCGGGTGTTTCCAGCCTAGCAGACGGGCTCCTCCCATTGGATGTCACCGAAAGCAACGAGGCGCTAATGTCACTGTCAACGCGGGGATTGACTCTGCTCGCTGACTCGTAACCGAAACATATTAACAGCTCGCCAACTGGGTGATGTGGGGGGGGGACATAGAGGGAACAGAGAGAAGAGGGGAGGAGATCTGTGAGCTTGGGTACGAGTGGCTCTTATTAAAAGATTGAGTAATGGAGGAAGCAAGATACAAAGAAAGAACAAGGGAGAGACATGCAGAGCCACCCCAACACTCCGGCTCCCTCTGGCACCCCAACACTCCGGCTCCCTCTGGCACCCCAACACTCCGGCTCCCTCTGGCACCCCAACACTCCGGCTCCCTCTGGCACCCCAACACTCTGGCTCCCTCTGGCACCCCAACACGCCGGTTACCTCTGGCACCCCTACACTCCGGCTCCTTCTGGCACCCCAACACACCGGTTACCTCTGGCACCCCAACACTCTGGCTCCCTCTGGCACCCCAACATTCCGGCTCCCTCTGGCACCCCAACACTCCGGTTACCTCTGATACCTGCATGATTTTGGACAGCAGAAGAACACTGATGTAGACAGAGGAAACCTGTACAAACACGGGAGGAGCCAGCACACCCCACAAAGAGAGGTGGGAGGGCATTTGAACCCACGGTCTTAGCAGTGTGTGACTGCAGTGCTGCTCACTGAGCCACCAGGCCAGTCCTCTGGGGGGGTTAATAGTAGGGAGCGGTCTTTAGGGGAGGTTAATGATTACAGGCTAAGCTTAGCTCCTTTACCTGATGCTGTGTGGGGGGGGGCATACTCGTCAGGTCAGTGAATGGCACCCTGGGAGATCGCGACATCCTGCCACTGGCCCCGGTACTGCTGGCCCTGGTACTGGGCACCCTTCATGGCTCGCTGAACATCTGGGACAGCTCAGGAGGCCTTGTGGGGACACTCATGGCAAAGAGGGGTGGACTAGGCACTGGGCAGGAGTGGGACCTCCCATGGAAGGGAGCTGGCAGGGTGGAGGACAGTATGTACACCCCCTGTGGTCCAAGCCAGTCCTGCTGCAAGATGACTTCTTCATTCTCCTTAGTTCTCCTCAAATTTGTATATGAAAAGTAAACTGTAGCTGGTGTGTGTGTGTGTGTGTGTGTGTGTGTGTGTGTGTGTGTGTGTGTGTGTGTCCTGTGGGGAACAAACCATTCCTGGCTTTTGGTGGTTTGAGGTTAGGGACTGTTAATTACAGCAGAATGGGTGCCAATGACAAGTCCCCCAGTGTAATGACACATAACACATTTCGCTGACTGTGGGGACATTTCAATAGAAATGAAAAACAGATATAGTGGGGTGCCTGTGTATCATAAACACAGCATAACATTTAACATTTAGTTTGTTATTTATTTTCATCTTTTTAAATTTTGGTGATTGCTTTGGGATTGTTAATTATCCTAAAATGAGATTTAATGGTAACTTACTGTGATGTGAGGGCAGGATCTTTGTGGAAATGTAGTATTGTGCAGAGGATGCAAGAGACGGGTCTTCTTCTGACCTAATGACCTACCAGGTTCAGTGCCCTGCTGCTTTCTGATGGACATTTGAATCAAAATGAAACTTTTACCAAAGACATGGTGTTTAAAGATGAGGCTTAGTTTAGCGTAGTTTAGTAAAAACATGCCACAGACATGCTGAAGATCCCTCATTCCTACCTTATATGTGGCTTTGTTTGTTTGTTACAGAGCACCTAATGTAGCTGCAGAGGAAAGCAGGATGTTGTACATCAGTATCAACATTAAGAGTAATAAAAATTATGTGGTAGTTATGGGTGATTTTAATTTACCAGGGATACAGTGGGACCTGGGATACAGTCTCTGGCTCTACTGTAAATGAACTTGAGATGGTGGAATTGGTGCAGGATTGCTATTTTACGCAGGTTATTAAAACTCCTACCAGATGAGAAGCCATTCTCAATCTTGTTTTCATTAATAACCAGGATAAGATAAGAAAATTTGAGGTTTTAGAACCACTTGACAGTAGTGATCATGAGAGTTGTAGTTCTCAAGGTCCAGTCTTGGTCTCGAGACCACTCGACCACTCAACCTGACCTCGTCTTGGTCGGGTGCTCATTTTGTCTTGATCTTGCCTTGGTCGAGTCTCGAAATATTACAAAACATATTATCTGAATCGATATGAAAATATACTTCTTTCCCCACACATAGCAGAAATTCTGCTGTCTTCTTGTAGCAGCGCTAATTAAAAATGTACTACATGTGAAACACACTGGGAAGATCACGATTGTCCGTCTGTTTGTTCGTAGGTCTCTCACACTCAGTTGGATTACAACTTGACCACCCTGTGCCATCATGTCCGTGTCAGTTCATCTTGAATAGATACGTTTGGGGAGCCGTAGTCAGATATGAAGTCACCGAGGTCCGGACCTCTGTAATTTTTTTTAATAGCTAAAAATAAAATTTGAAGCTAAATATTCACCTGAAAAAAAACAGCAATTGAAAATCTCTATGAGCCAGGTGAATTCTTAAGTGTAAATTCTGTGCGTGTGTGTGTGTGTGAGTGAGAGAGAGAGAGAGAGAGAGAGCATTTAGTATCAGCATGATATCAAAACAAGTGTATTTGATGTTGGCTTGTAATGGTGTGTTAATATGAAGTATTTCTTTTTCATTTTTATGTTTATATATGGTTGCAAATATCCTTAAATTACATGCTTCATACCCATAATACTTTAATGCTCGGTGATGTTCTTATGATATAGACCTAAATTGATTCAGTAAGGCACATTTATGTTGTAGGGCTGGTGAGATCTATGCATCCCGGCATGCCTTGCGAGCACGTGTATATAGCCCCGTCTATGTCATTGTAAATAGCCCTTGTAGCCCAGACCTTCTGGACCAGCCCTTGTTGATCCTGAAGTAGTTATGATTATAGTTGTATTTCCCTATTGTTGCGTGTCGTGTGTACCCTGTCCGATCCTCGCGTGTTCTTAGCGTGTATAAATCTCTCACCCTGTGCACCTTACAGTTCGCTGTTTCGCTGTTATCTTTGGGTTCGGTGCTCGTTGGGTGCCAGTTATAGTGTTGTTAAGGACTATCACAGAGAGTGAGTTCTGTCCTGGAAATAAAGCCTCCTCATCCTTTGCTGCTCTTGTGATGACCGGTGCTACAATAGCTCCACATAGCTTGCTGTAACCTAAACTATCAACTAATTGATAGGATCTGTCATTTAACACTGCCTGTTCCCCAGAAAACAAGCCGCTTGTATGTAATATGTGATTGACGAGATCCACCCCCCAACCCCCTCATCCCCGAGTCGCAGACTTCACTATTTTTCACACGCTGGCTGCAGCCGTGCTCCTAGTCTCCTTATGCTGCATCAGGAACTGCTACCTTCCTTTCGGAGAGCTGTTCACACGGTATTTATTTCACTCATCTATCATCAGCTGCCCCTGTTAGGCCATGTTCACACTAGGGAAGCCAAAAAATGCAAGGAAAAGTACATCTCGTTGTACTGCATTTTTTTTTTTGTTGCCTGCATTTTTCTGTTTTCATCTTGCATTTGTCCACGTTGTTGTGTCTCTTTATACGTTTTTAATGTTGCGTTGTATTAGCCATTTCTATAATTGTGCATGATTGTCCCTAGTGTTTGTGGAGAAAAAGAGAGAGTAAAAAACGCATACAAACACTTTTGAATGCGTTTGTATCCATTTTTCACTGTCATCAATGGGAGTGTGCAGTGCAGAGAAATGCATGCAGCAGTGTGTTTTCAAAGTGGGAACATCATACATTGCTTTCTATGTAATGTATGATGTTCTAGTGAATTGCAGAATGTGCGTGTTGATGAAAACGTAATATAATGCGCATAGTGGGAACGAGTACTGGACTGTTTTGGGCATTGTTGGTAGTGTTTATTGTTTGGTGTTTATTGTTAGAGTTTTGTATCCAGTTTTACTATCGCCGTCAGGAGGATGGGGGAGGGCTTTGTGTATGTGATTTAGTTATATTGTGTGTTTTTTATGCATCTGCATTATTGGTTAGAGCAGTGGTGTCCAATCTTATCCGTAAAGGGCCGGTGTGTATGCGGGTTTTCGTTGCATCTCCCTAATTAGATTACTAATTAGAGGACTGATTGGCTGAAGACTCACACCTGGGTTTGAACAGCTGACCTACAGGTTATCCCAAAACCTGCATACACACCAGCCCTTTGCAGATAAGATTGGACACCCCTGGGTTAGAGTATGTAAACATTACAAATTTTCAATAATATGATCTTTTGGAATTACAGTCGAACCCACTTATCTCGACCTCGGTTAACTTGTCAACCCCATTAAGTCGACGTTTTTGAAGTGGAACCGCCAAATTCCCTCTGTCATTTTCTCATCGGTTATGTCGATTCTTTTATGTCACCGAACCCTAATATCTCGAGCACAAAAGAGGGCCAAAATCACCACTTAATATCGGTTATCTCGATCCCCGTGACTAATCACCGGCTTTTAAAAATGTATCATAAGTGCTAAACAGCCGCATTAGCACGTATTCAAATCGCATTCGCATGGTAATTTGCTGAACAACGCAGCGGTGAAACGCGATCCAGGTAAATCCCCATCAAAACTGACGGTATGGAACTTTTGTAGGAGATGAAACTGTTTTAGACAGCATAAATAATATTGAAGCATTTCTTAAAGGCAAAAAGCAACAAAGCATAGTAACCGCGTGTATGATACTTTTCAGAGCTGTGTCAGAGCAAAATGACTCGTGAATTTAATTTTGACACTGGTTAGCTTTTTGTAAAAACGAACTACAGTACACCCCGCAGGTTTTTTGTGATTTTGTGAGCGATCTTTGTGTTTGCAATGTTGGAGAATATAATGAAAGGTTTGTATTGAGAATCGACGGTGGTTTTTATTGTATACTGGTAAATCTCTGCTGTTAGTTGGTGCACATATGCCTTTTGTTGTTAGCCAACATGTATGTACATTTTTATAGCATGCCGATCGCGTCATCAAACAAATCGCAGCAACGCTGTTGTATAAAAAAACACCAAAAACCTGTGTATGTACAGTCTTATTTATTAACGCACATCATGTACATAAAGAAATTTCAAGCACGTTAATATATTGCCGCCATATTGGTTTTCGGTTATCTCGATCATCTCGACGCTTTTTGGCAAACCTCTAGGCCAGCGACACAACCGGGTTCAACTGTACATAAATTAAAAATATAGCCCTAATAGTCTTGATCTTGGTCTTGACTTGGTCTTGGGTTGAATGAGTCTTGATCTCGAAACAGATGATCTTGAACACATCACTGGTGATCATAAACATGCTTAAATTTGAGGTTAATTTTAGTGCTCAAAGAGCAAACTCCAAAACAAAAATATGTTACGAAAGCTAACGTTAATGGTATGAGACTGAAACTAGAAACTGTAATCTGCATGGAGGTAAATAAGAAAACTGTTAAAGTGGCATGTTTCCAGCAGTTTACTACTGAAATTAAAAACCAAGTCAGGATGTGACATGTAACAAACCTTATTACTAATCCGGCGTTATCTATGACTAATATATGTATAACTGAAGCTGATGTGCTCCGAAACATAAATCGCAGGGCCCTGATGGCATCTTATCTATGGTTTTAAAAGAGATGATATTATTTGCTGACCTTTAACTTTACTATTTCAGAAATCCTTATCTGCTGGTGTGGTACCTTCTGATTGGAAGCATTCTAAAAAAGGGGATAGAAGTAATCCAGCAAACTATAGGCCAATCAGTTTAACTTGCATAACTGGAAAAGTAAGGGAAGCTATAATCCAAGTGAAAAATGGTAGATTATGTGGAATCAAATAACATTCTGAAGGATAGCCAATATGGATTCAGGAGAGGTAGATCCTGTTTGAGGAAGCTATAAGAGAAATTAATCACAAAAAGGCCTACGATGTAATCTACTTAGATTTCCAGAAGGTCTTTGATGTTGTCCCCCACAAATGGCTCCTGCTTAAGCTCATAGCAGCCTGGATTTTAGGAACTGTACCAACTTGGATTGAAAACTGCTTAACAGACAGGAAGCAGTGAGTAGTTATTAGAGCCACAATGTCACAGTGGGCCTGCGTTCATAGTGGGGTACCACAGGGTTCAAATTTAGGACCACTAGTATTCCTAATTTACATTAATGATAATGACAACATTACACACAGTAAACTGGCTAAATTTGCAGCCAGGTCTAGATGCTGTTCAACCAAATAGTGACTTCAATATTAGTTCAAATACAAGACCTTGTGGAAATTATCGGGAAAACATTTTAAACTGGATTTGAGGAAGCACTTCTTTGCACAGCGTGTAGTTAGAGTATGGAACAGTCTTCCTGTTAGTGGGTTCTTTTAAATCAAAGCTAGGTAAGATTTTTGCAACTCTGAGCTGTTAACTGAGCTCTCCCCAAATGTGCTTCATGGCCCAAATGGGCTCCTCTCGTTTGTAAATTTCTTATGTTCTTATGGTCTTTGTTGCTCTTCTCTGCACCTCCTACATTATTACATGGTATCTGATTTATTCACCCATTGACCGATGACTTAATAACTCAACCAAACTGAAATGATCTGTCACCAAAATACTGGTAGCTAGGGAATCATGGTGCAAGCACAGATGCTGAGAGGTGTGAGGTCTTCCTTGCTCCAGGGGTTGCTCCAATAGCGAGACGGAGAGCGAGGCAGGAGACCTTCTCGACCAGCAGTTTGAGGAGCTCAACAACAAGCTGAACTCGGTGACAGACCCGACGGGCTTCCTGCGCATGGTGTCCAGGAACAACCTCTTTAACAGGTGAGCCTTCCAGGCCTGCCGCCTCCTGTGTGACCTGGGAAACACTCACCTCTCTGATACCTGACTGCAATTTTTCTGATCTCATCAGCTAAAGAGCTGAGATCAGTCCCAGTTGTGCTCCTTCAGTCTCAATCTGGATTGCTAACTTCACAAAAGTAGCCAGTCTCATATTGCAGTGAGTGCAGGTACACTGGAATCCTTTCGTCTTTGTATATCCCATCCTTTGCGTCCTTTCTGACACATATAGAGGTCAGAATGAAGCTTAGTGTCTTAGCAGAGGGTCAGCCATTTTCTGGCACCCCTGAAGCATGGCTGGGGGTTAAAGGCCTTGCTTAAGGGCCAAATTGAGATGTGAGCACAGAATTCAAACCAGTGACCTTCTGATCAGAAGCCTAAAGCACTGAGCCACAGACTATGTTATCACCCACTGCAATGCAAAGGCTCATCAGTAGTCTGATTTGACACGACCCCCCCACCCCCCCCAATAGCGTTGGCACTGCAATGAGGCTGTGCTTTGATGTAATAACTGAGCCGTAATTGAGTTCTAGGGCATGCTAAAGCCTTTTAATACCTCCACAGGTCTGTGGCTAATAATCCCCCCTCCATTTGTGAGACAGGTGGATGGGGGGGGGGCGGAGCTCTGCCATTTATGTCTTCTGCCTTTAATTTTCACATCACAGTAATATCACCATTTCAGGGATTTATTTCATATTTACCTCAGAATTTCTTCTCACATTCTTCTTTTTCATTTTGTGAACAAGGCCACACGTTACGCAAAGAAAGGCCCCCACAGGATCCTCAAATGAAACAGGACCCCCCTCCCAGGGCCACGGCGTGCCACATCTCCGGGGAGGGGAGCTGCCTTGGGTCCTTGGGGCCATGTCATATATCGGATGACCTTTTGAGCTTGAGAGTCAATCTTCTTCTCTGTGTGAGCTCTGGCCCCATCACATCTTACAGAGAGACAGTAGTAACGCCTCTTAAACTCTTGGTTTTCATTGTTTAGATCTTACCTAGGTCTTGTTAAAGCAAATCTGTCTGTCCAGTTTGTCAGCTAAGGAGAACCTAATCGTGCCGTCTGTCCAAGCTTGTGCTGCTCATGATTTCACTCTGTTTTCATTAACATTAAAATATCCTCAAATCCCCTTGCTGACCGTAACTTGCCCACAATCTCCTGCCGTCTGACCGAGGGAGCCCCGTTTGTTGTCCCTCGGAGGCCAATTCCAGAGCCAGGGCCCGGATTGGCAGTTTGGGCTGGACAAGAGCCAGTCTCTCTGGGCTGTGATGAGGCGGGGCAGGGGGGCTAGGGAGGTTGCTAGCTGCCTGAGCAGATGGACACTGAGGCTGCCCACGGAGATACAGGCTGTCTGTAAACAAAGCTCAGGCTTTTCTGCCACCGCCGTCGCAACATGCGGCCCCCGCATCCCACAGACGAGGAAACCAGGTGTGAAATTGTCTGGTCATCTGGCATGTGTGGACTTTCAGCGCCCGGGACGATTCGCCACGGGGTGCCGATAGACATGTCACATTCCCTTAACCTTGCCCTCAAGCTGCCTGTGAAGGTTTCCCCTTAAAATGGGGACATTCTCACTCCACGCATATTTTACGGAAGCTCAGCTTCTGTGGAATTTCAATCCTCTTAGACCGGTTAAAAGCTCCAAGGCGCCTTTGTTGTTGTGAACATGAAATGTGTTTCAGGGGCTACTTACATGGGTTTAATTTGTATGTGGGGAGGCGATAGAGTAAAACCCTCTGTGTCCCTTAATGTTTGATTATAGGCCATTCAGGAAAAAAACAGCCCCACAGTGGGAAGCATAAATTGTGAGGCCAGAGGCTGCCCTGAAAAAGCAGGTTAAGCAGTTCTTGTAGAGCTCTCTGCTGCCATCTTGTGGAGATGTCAGCATGTAGCTTTTGCACATGCAGGGCAGTGTAGCCCTTTTGCCAGGTTTTTTGATGCAAAACGCACACACACAGGAGGCAGGACTCAAACCCCGACCCTGCAGGCGTGAGGCAGCAGTGGTTCCCGCTGCGCCACCATGTTGTCTCGTTTCCTGCAGAAAAATGTAAGAAATGCAATCAATGCCCGTTACTCACTTCTGCTTCCATTTGTGGTAACTTAGTTATGTGCAGCAGCATTTCCGAAGCCATTCTGCCTACTCAGGGGTGACCAGCAGGGTGACGACTTTACCCGTGGAAAACAAACTGCATCCAGATGAGTTTAATCCCCTGTTAATCTATAAGCAGTGTGAAACTTGACTGTAATTTATGCTTTGGGTTGTGCAGCTCTAGTGGGAGGGGCGATCCTTTAATCATTGGCAGATCATTTTCTGCAAATCCCTTACTTATATATTTGCTATGCCATGCTGAATGGATCCTGTTGTCAGATATGAATATATACCCAGCTATTTTTCTGGGTAATAAATGTACATTTGCTCAGACCGAAAAACACTATTTAGCATTAGAACATATGAAAATAGAAATGAGGTTTCTCCGCAGGGTGTCTGGGCTCTCCCTTAGGGATAGGGTGAGAAGTTCGGATATCCGGGAGGGCCTCA